ATCTGAGACTTCTGGCCAAAATGGAGGCATAGGTAGACACATACACTTTGCCTCCTTGCACAACCAAAAGAAGGACAACAACAAATTTAAAACCCAAATATAATCAGAACTGCCAGAAAATCCAACTCTGACAAGTCTGACAACCAAGAAGTTGACGAAGAGATATTCCTCCAGACTAGTAGGAGGGGTGGAGATAGGCAACCCAGATGGAGATGATGGTCCAGTGAGGCAGTGGATGGCAGTTTCACAGTTGCATGCAGGTAAACCAGGAGGAACAACTGGGGAGTGAGACATATCATGCAACCCAGGGTTCCAGAGCTGGAAAAGAAACCCTCAAAACTTCTGGCTGTAAAACCTGTACAACTTGCAGTAGAAAGAGAAACTCCCAGCCTCATGAGAAAGTTTGTTAGAGAGACCCACTGGGTCCTAGAATGTACACAAACACACCTACCTGGGAATCAGCACCAGAAAGGCCCAATTTGCTTGTAGGTAGGGGGGTAAGTTTCTGAAAGCCAGCCAAGAGCTGAGCAAGTAGCATTGTTCCCTCTCTGAGCCCTCCCTGACAGTGCTACAACACAATGATGTGTTGCCGACGTGTAATGTCAAGTTAAATGAGTTCATCATCACCAAGCCCTTATTATATGAAATGTTTAAGAGACTTATCTAATAAAAAGAAGATGATCCAAACTATGAATAATAAAATGACAACAAAGTTACAACTATCAACAAATGAACCTAAAAAAAAGCAAAAACAAAAACAAACTAATTAAACAACTAGAACAGGAACAGAATCACAGAAATGGAGATCACATGGAGGATTATCAGCAGGGAGGGAGAAGGGGGAGAATAGGGTAAAAGGCACAGGGAATAAGAAGCATAAATGGTAGAAACAAAAGCAACAGGGGGAGGTTAGTAATAGTATAGGATATGGAGAAGCCAAAGAACTTACATGTATGACCCATGGTCATGAACGAATGGGGAATGCTGGTGGGAGAGGGAGTGCAGCATAGAGGGGAATAAAGGGGAAGAAAAAATAGGACAACTGTAATAGCATAATCAATAAAATATACTTAAAAACAAGGAGAAAACATATCTGACATGAGTCTTGTTTCATTTGTTAAATGAGCCAGTCTGAGAATTTAGTACTGGGAGCAAATGAAGAGCAGCAGTGTAATGTGACATCTCTCCCAGCTGGTGACAGCATTAGTTGTTACTATGGCATGTGGGCAATGTCGGGGTTAGTGCCGGAGGAGTCAATGGGTTGGAGGATTTTTTAGGTCACCCAGATGAACTGTCTCCTGCTACTAAGCACTGTAGGCCTTGGCTGGCTGATATTTTGATAGTCAAGAACCATAAAGCTATGTTGTTGTTTCGTCTTTTCTCTGGTTGAGCCTGGAGAATTTTAAGTTCACAGAGCTGTCTAAACACTGGTGTTTCCTGTGCCTTGTCCTCCTTCCTCTTCTGTTTCCAGTGGGGTTGTCTCCTTGGGCTGCAGCTGTCCCATATCTTAGCTAAAAGTCCCTCTCAGAAGTGACCCCTGATAAAAATGGTAGCCCTTCCATTCTGCCTGTGAAGTAACTTGAAATAAGACCTCTACATTCTGAGTTATGCTTTTTACTGCCCTGTTTTTTTTCTTGTTCATTAGTTGCTTTTGGTTTGTTTTTAAACAAAACTAGTTAAATGGATACATTTGAGTTGTTCTGTTTCGTGATTGCCAGCTTAAGAATCTCTAGCTGCTGGTCATGGTCCTTCGGCCTGGTCTGTGGAACACAGCAGTTGTGGCCAGCCATGTGTACTCTCCAGAAGTTAATCCAGTATTGTCATTCCAAAGGCATTGTGGTGACTGCCTACAGTTCTCTCAGCTTTCCCAACAGGCCCTGGGCCAAGCCTGAGGACCCTTCCCTACTAGAGGATCCCAGAATCAAAGCCATAGCTGACAAGTGGAATAAAAGCATAGCTCAGGTTCTGATCAGGTTCTCCATGCAGAGGAGTTTGGTTGTGATCCCAAGTCTGTGACACCTGAACACATTGCTGAGAATTTTCAGGTTTTTAACTTTGAGCAATGAGGATATAGAGCATTTTTGGACCCTAATAGCACACCTAGGTTTTAGAGGAGGAAAATAGGGAAAAAATTTTTGAAGTAAAAAATGTGGTAAAATATTTAATAACATAAATAACATAATATTTCACCAATGTAAATGTAAAGCTACATTTGGACTATAAAACTCCCCCTCTCTTTCCTCCCAAATTTGGGGTGGGGGAGTGCGTCTTATAGTCTGAACAATGCAGGTAAGCACTTTACTCAGCTACCACAGGAACTAGAGCATCTGTGCCTTGGTGAGCTCTTTGGGCTTTTCAACGAAGAGTTTTGAAGCTATGAGTGCCTGCTCTTCCCCAGGTGACCTGCTGCCATCTTTTCTGCCTCATTCGTCCTCTACATAGTGTGGTATGGCCCATGTCCTTCAGTGGTGTGGCAGCCACCTGCAGATGAACCAGCGAGGGTGTGACCGGCCTGGCCTTGGGTCTGAAAAGCAGTCTGAGTAGCTTAGAGGTCTCTTCCAGTTTTCTTGTCCAGCGAGGAAAGTACAACTTCCATACCCTTTTCTGACTAAGTTGTATCTACATAGTGAAAAATAGTGCCATTAACAATTGGATTTTGACTGCTTGAAACTGTAATCCTTTTAGCCAGATTTCTTCTTACCTCAAATAACAAGTACTTTAGAGGGCTTGCAAAAAAAAAAAAAGAGTTTGTAGCCCCCTAATTACAATGGTTAAACAAGTGTGTTGATAATCCTAATTGCAACTTGCATAGGAGAGTGTGTCTCAGGTCACTGCTGCTCCTTAAGCACACTCCCCTATCCCTGGATCAAGAGCCAACCGTTTTTCCTTGGAAATTTCTCATTGGATGCTGACCTGTAGTCACTCCCTCTTAATTTGTGAATGAAATGCCTTGCCTCATTTTGAAATGTTTTAAGGGAGAACCTGCTACTTATCATGTCCATGCTGAAGCAAGCAGCTGGAAATCAGGCTTGCTTTCGCAGCAGCAGAATGACCTGTGGGCTTATGGTTTGCATTCGGCAGCAGCCTGTGACAGTTTTGGAGTTCCAGCATAGAACTGGGTACACACCACATTTCACTCCCTGGACTGTTGGTGCTTGCAAAGCCATGGTGGCCATCCATCTGTGCCAGGACTTGTCACCGTTTCTTTACAAGTACAGATCTGGCCAACGTTCAGAGGGCCAGAGTTCTCGTGTTCCTTTACTTCTGCCCTGCCCTTCTTGACTACTTTTTAAGTCTGAGACATTGGCTCTGGTCTGTCCCAGTCTGTCTTGGTGGCTCAGGGTCAGCCCTTTGCCCTGGTGCATGAATCTCCTGGGATGGCCTGTAGACTTGATTGTGGTCTTTTATTCTCTGTGGCTTTGTGATCTCAGCTGTCTGTGGGCTGTTATGTAGACAGGCATGGTAAGGGGGTCTCATCAGTAGTGGGAGGAGAGGCTGCAGGGCCCTTTATAACGACTCACCACTTGCTCAGGGCACCTAGTCATGGTGGCTGAGTTGGTACAGTCACATCAACCTGGGCTTGACTCTGCTCTGCCATTCATTTACAGTGTGAACTTGGACAACTCACTCTGCCTCAGTTTACACAGCTATAAAATGAGGACAAGAATAGAATTTGCCTGAAGATTTGTGGTGAAGAGAAATGAGAAAATGTTCAGAAAGGCCCAAACATAATGCCAGGCACATAGCAAGTACCCCAAAGAGGTATTTATCATTACAGAATTTGGATCCAGCTTACTTCAACAATAACATCATCAGTGTTCTCTGAGCCAACCCCATACAAGTCTGTGAAACAGAGTCATTTGTTGTGTTTTTTTTAACAATGTTTTTATTGGAATGGAGTCTTTAAAACTAGAGAACACAACTGGTAAATTCTTGTCTACACAACTATATTAAAAGCAGCCCTAAAGCAGGGACTTTCCTGTAGCTTCCATGGTGCCTTGAGAAGTGCCAGGCTGGTGGCTGGGCCTGCAGATGCCCCTAAAAATGTGTGGAAGGCATCTTCTACTCAAGGTGGCCTCTTGGCATCACCACTGGCCACATGTGCACAGAACAGAGGTATGGGGATCATTGTAAGTTCATGTAAACTTGTAAGAAATGGTGCAGAAATACCCACGTGCCCTTTACCCAGTTTCTGCCTATAGTAACGTCTTGCAAAACTATACGACAATATCACAAGTAGGATATTGACATTGATACAGTGAAGATACCACCACAGGATCCCTCCTGTTGTAGTTTTATAGCCACACCTATGTCCTTTCTGCTCTTACACCCTCCTTAACCTCCAGAAACTATGAATGTGTTAGAGCCTGGACCTAGGTGAGGCCAGAGCCTCTATCCCAGCCTTCGGTGTCTTACCATAGATGAATTTTGATTGATTGTTAGAGTGACATAAATGAGCCAGATCATTAAAAATAAAATAATAAAGAAACAACCTAGGCCTAAACAGAGAGAACAGAGGTCCAGAAAAGGAGGCCAAAGATTTGTGATTACATCAGGGGAAATAAAGACTTGTGAATGTGCTTTTGGCGAAGTAGGCAGTCTCAGCTAAATCAAGAAAGGATGAGGGTCATCACTTCCATAAACCACTAAATTTCCCTTCCTTATTGCGTTCATTGTGGTATTTGTTAGGTGCTTTGGAATACTTTTATTCTTTATCATATTTGAATATTGTCAATAATTCATCTTTAACAATTCTAGCTACTCCAAATATTTACTTTATAAAGATTTATGACCTTCCAAAATCTGTATTTATGATTTCTTAAGATGACAGCACTTCCTTAGGGACTTAAGTTCTGCTTCTCAGAGCTTAGTGGGGAACATGGAATTTGATGTTCAGACATATTCTAGAAACCTGGCTGGGATGTGCCGGGTCTGCTAGAACTACCAGGGCGTCATTGGGCCAGCCATAGCCACACACTCATACTGTGTTTCCCTCCCAGGAGCTGAGGTCCGAGAGGACGTGTTTCTCATTTGGAGGGAGATGGAGGAAGCCTGCAGTACGCTGGCCCAGATCCAGAGGCTGGTGGCCGAGCCTTCCAAGTCTGATGTGGCCACTATAGACTGTGGTGGGTGCTGCTTATAGTCACTACTGTGAAAGAGTCATAACTGCTGCTGGTTGTGGATGGGGGCTGTTTCCAAGTTTTTTACCAAAGAGTACTCATTCCAGCCTGAGGAGAGCATCTGGAGCTGTGTGTGTGTTCATGTGCTCATGTGCACATGTGCACGTGTGTGCATACATGTTTGTGCATGGTCATGTGTATATGTGTATGGAGATTGTTAAAGAAAAACCAGAGCCGGACAGTAGTTAAAACAGTAAAAGCAGATTCTATTCCAGACTAATCTCTTTTCCCTATTGCAGTAGTCCAGTTTGTATAATCTCTTTTCCCTGTTGCAAGATACAAACTGGGCTCAGTTATGAACACCACATGGAAAAATGGGGATTTACAGACAAGGGGCAGTGTGGGGGGGTCTCTAGGTAGATAGGAAACTACTGAGAAGAAACATCAGGTATGGCGGGGATTCCTGACTAAACTGATCTGACAGGATTCTCACTGTAGGCAGGCCACAGTGATCAGATATGACCTGGATATCGAGGGGATTCTGGCTAAACTGACTTAGGAGGATATTTGCTACAATTGGGCAATGCAAAGACCAACAGAAAGCCCAGAGGTCACTGTCTAGTTGAGAAGAGGATTCAGAGGAGCCTAAGTTTTTGAGTGAGAAAAGTCTGTTGTAAATTTTATCTCCCTCACTAGATTAACCTGAGCTAACCTCTTTAAATCTTAGTTTATTCTTCTGTGAAATGATTATAATAATATCAATCTTGAGGGATTATGGCTAAAATGAAATAAAATAATGCATGCTTTGTACCATGCAGGTACTTGGTAAATGCTAGCACACCTTTTCCCTTTCACAGGTAGGGGAGTTAGTACAACCTACTGACTTTTGCATGAGTGCTGGAACTCAGTAAAAGATTTCCTCTGTAAGTCACCAGTTTCATTTAGGGCACCCATGGTAATAACAGCAGTTAACACTTACAGCACACACCTTACATTTTAAGTACTGTTTGGGGCTCTTCACAAATATTAACTCATTTAATCCTTCCCACAATCTTATAAGATAGATGTTATTATTATTTTCATTTAGGGTCAAGTAACCCTCAAGGTTATCCAAGGCCACACAGCTAAAAGTGATACAACCAGATTCAAATCTAGTCCATCAGTAAAAACATCAGTATCTGGTACCCACCCCAGATATTCTGATTTAATCTATATGGGATGCAATCTGGACATGGGGATTTTGAAAGCTTCCAGGACATCCTAACATGCAACAAATGCAGGGACCCTCTGGTTGTACTGCCTCCTGATGCCCTGACCATGTTACAGAGTGTCCATGTGGGAAGAGAGCAAGGAGGCCAGGCTGGCTGGGGGCAGACAGGGAGATGGTTCAAAAGGAGAAATGGGGAAGGGGTCATGTGTAGAGGGGGGAAGAGACTGAAGGCCTGGATGACCTTGCCCTCTGTGATATGATAAATTCCTGGTGATGGTGACATTTTCCTGCGACTGGGTATCTTAACTTGGGCTTGGGCAGCAACAGCTGCACTTGCTTTGCCAGAACCAGCTATGTAGGGTTCCTAAGGACCTGCCTAATCAGGCTTTTCTAGAGGGATTGCTTGCTTGTGACACCCCACTGAGTGTGAGCTTAGAGTCAAGGACCCAGACAGTCCCCATTGTCTTGAGTAAATATCCATGCCAAGTAGATAATGGTGATACTGCTGCTAAGGTGTTTGTTTGGGGGAATGCTGTGGACTGAATGTGCCTCCCCTTAGATTTATATGTTGAAGTCCTAACCCACATTGTGACCATTTGGAGAGGGGGACTATAAGAAGGTAATTAAAATGAAATGAGATCATAAGTGTGGGGCCCTAATCTGACAGGACTGGTATCCTTAAAAGAAGAGGAAGAGACACCAGCCACCTCTTTCTTGCTACATGTGCACAAAGGGAAAACTGTGTGAGGGCACAGTGAGAGGGTGTCCATCTACAAGCCAGGAAGATATGCTTCATCAGAAACCAACCTTATGGTCACCTTGATCTTAGACTTCCAGCCTCCAGAACTGTGAGAAAATTATCCAGTCTGTGGCATTTTGCCATGGTAGCTTAACCAGACTAATACAGGGAGTATTTAAGCATGGGGCAGTTAGTCTTGAGAGTTAACATAAGTTTCTTAGATATTATTCCTAAAGGAAACAGAAGAGCTATTGGCTCCTGTAATTGATAGAAGGTTAGATCACTATTGCTTTCATTCCATGTAACACACACACACACACACACACACACAAAACTAAAAACCAAAATAACTCCAAAAATAAATTTTCAAAAGATGCTTCAAATATACAACCTCTATTTAAAAAGGAAAGTTTGGTTAGATGGGTATCCACTGTTGGATACCCATCAAAGCTTTTGTAACTCAGAGGCCACATGTAGAGTGTCTGACCTGTTCCTGTTGCTATCCATAGCCCAGTGTTATTGAGGCAAAGGCTATGTCAGCCCCAGACCTTGTATCTGCTTCGTGTGAAGGTAGTGGCCATTCCCCATGTTTGGCTGCCCATAGCCTGCAGGCCAAGGAGATAAGGTAGTCATCAGGGGAGGGGAGGGTCAGGATGGGAGAGACTATGTGGGCTGCCATTGTATATGGAACCTTCATGTGGATTAGACTAAAAAATCCCTTCCTGGGCATAGCAGCCTATCTATGGCCCTTGGGCTAGGCACACTGGTTCTGGGATCAGCAGGCACCTAAGACTATGGGGCCTGGAGGCAGAGATGGCTCATCAGCCTGATGCCTGGGATAAGAAGATGGTGAGGCCAAACATTCTGATCACTGATAATTTTTACCTCTTTTAATTACCAGGTGCAAGACAGGAGAATTCCCTGGGAGACAAACTGACAAGAATATATGAGGCAATGGTTTTTAAAGACACTGGACACTAAGCAATGAAGGCCAGTGACCCCTGAGATACAGGGAAAATCCAGGGTGAACTCTATGATTATCCCAGCTTAATGCTTTGGGAGAGTTTCCAGGCCACAATGTGGGAAGAAGGATCTCAGTGGGTCACAGCAAACTTCTGAGTTTGGTAGGCAGAGTGAAGAGTCCTGGGAGACCAAGACATTTAGATTTCTCAGGACAAAGTATCAGAGAGGGGAGAGGTGCACAGAGAGAGAACTCAGGAAATCTGCAGAGAAACCCCCTTGAGAATTCTGCTTAATACTGATCAGCTAATTTATGTGAGGGAATTACTTTAGGTTGGGAAAGATCCATTTGAAAGAATTCAAAACAAAGGGCTGACAATGACTAGAGGGGAGAGGGGAGGGAATTTCAGAGGAAAAGAGTGAAGGGTTTGCAGGAACAAGTATAAAGGATACATGGACAATAATGGGGTGGGGGGCGGTGGAAATGGGAGGGAGGTGGGGAGGGCTGAGGGTATGGGCTGGGGTGGGGGGAAAAGACAGAAAACTGTACTTGAACACAATTAAAATTTAAAAAAAAAAAGAAAAAGAAAAAGGGCTTGGAGCTTGCGCTGTCCTCACCAGCCCAACTTGTGAGGCACTGGGGAGAACACTTGGGAAAGTATTGGCTCAGTAATGGGGACTGACTAGCCTTAAACTGAGCTCTGGGCCTTCCTAAGAAATCATTAAAACAAGACATGGAAGGAAATAACTTTTCACAAGTAACTTAACTGCATCACAGAACAAAGCTCATGAAGATTGATAAGAACACAGAAATATCCAGTACCCATCAAATAATATTCACAATAATTGGCATCCAGTCAAAGATTACTAGGCATGAAAAGAAGCAGAAAATGTTACCCTGAATTATTAATCCATCAAACTGACTGGAAACTAACACAGAAATTGGAATTGGCAGAAAAAGACATTCAAACAGTTATTACTATATTCTGTGTGTTCAAAAAAATTAAGTAGGGACTGAGAAGATATTTAAAAAGACACACATTGAACTTTTGAAGTGAAATCTATTAGGGTAGAAATTATTTTAGATGGATGGGCTAAATGACAGACATTGCAGGAATAAAAAGATTAATGAAATTGAAGACATAGCAATAAAAACTATCCAAAATAAGACAAATACAGAAAAATAATAAGCAAACAAATAACCAACAACATACAGAGCATCAGTGAGCTGTGGGAAAACTTCAAGTGTCCAAATATACATAGAATTCCCAAGAAGAGGCAAGAACAGGCAACAGAAAAATATTTGAAGAAGTAAAGATTGAAAAATTCCTAAATTTGATGAAAACTCAAATAACCCAGACATCCAAGAAGTTCAATGAATGCCTAGTACAGGAAAATTGAGGAAACTATACCAAGGAACATTATAATCAATTTGCACAAAACCAGTATCACAGAGGAAATCTTAAAAGCAACCAAAGAAAAAAGATAACTTTGTACCTTTGTACAAAGGAACAAAGATAAATATGACAAAATATTCTTTGTTGTGAGTGAAAAGACAGTGGAACAATGTTTTTTTTTTTCATTCAGTACTTTAAATTTTCAATCTATAATTCTATATTCCATGAAACTGTATTTCAAAAACAAAGAAAAATGAAGACTTTTTAAGACATACAAAAGATAAAAAAATTATTATCAGCACATCTGTACTTCAGGAAAAGTTAGAGGAAATCTTTTGGGCAAGAGGAGAATAATACTTTTATATGGAAAAATGAATGAAAATATGTATCTACACAAAGTGATAAAGAACACCAGAAATAACCACATGGATAAATATGTGATATTTTTTTATTCAGATACTTCAAAGACAATTAGCTGTTTAAGTAAAAATAATAAGTCTATAACAAATATATAAATAAAATGTATGAAATACTAGCATAAGAGCTAGGAGAGAAATAGCAGCATTATTCATAAGTTCCCAAGATAAACAACCCATATGTACACTAACATAACTGCATAAATAAAATGTGTGTATATATACAATATATTATTCAGATTTAAACAGGAAGGAAATTCTGTCATGCTACAACATGGATAAAC